AGTACCCACTCTAGGCCACACCTGAGCCCCGGATGAACCCAAGAATGAGCTGGAGCCGTGAGAGGGCTTTGGACCTGGCATGGTCTGCCTGGTCCTGCTTGCGTTCATCAGCTCAAAAATTCCACACACTGGAGGTGGGGGGTGGGGGGGAGTTTAACCAACAGAAATGAATTTCTCACAGTTCTGGAGGCTAGAGTCTGAGATACAGATACCAGAACGGCGGGGGGCGGGCGGGGGGGGGCGGTTCTGATGAGCACCCTCTTCCGGGCTGGCATAGAGCTGCCCTCTTGCTCTGACTGTACATATGGTGAGCTAGCTCCCTGCTGTGTCTTCTCATAAGGGCACTAATCCCATCACGAGGGTTCCGTCCTCATGGCCTCATTTAACCCCAAGCACCTCCCAAAAGCCACATCTGCAAATACTGTCACATCGGGGGTTAGGGCTTCAACAGATAAATGTTAGGGGGACACAGTTCAGTCCATAGATTTCCCTAAATGTAGAAGTCATCGCAGCCTAGATGTGGCCGGTGGAGGTGTATACGGACGGGCCCACTGGTTAAGAATCCAGGATTTGCAACACTCTGTTGAGGCCACGTGTGAGTATTTATGAGCCCGGGCTCAAGAGTTACTGCCTGGGGTCAAGTCTTGGCCCTTCTCTTCACTGGGCACATTTCTTATCTTCTACCTGCCTCAGTTGCTAGACTTGTAAAGTAGGAATAATAATAGCACCTACCTTGCTGGGTTGGGTCAAGATGAAATGAGATAATACACATTAGGCTTTTATAACAGTGCCTGGCACTTAGCAGTTGCTTAGTAAGTGTTCATTCTTTCTACCCTGAGGTCTGTATTTTGTCAGACGCAAGTCATTCTTGGTCATGAATTTGAAAGTAGAATCAGGCTGCCTGCCCATTTCAGAGAAGATGGGGTCAAACGGAATCTTAGTGCAGATTCCTGAGCTTATGTTAAGAACCAGGCTCGGGATGCCTGGGCGGCTCAGGCAGTTGAGCATCTGACCCTTGATTTCGGCTCAGGTCACAGTCCCAGGATCGGGCAACCTGAGTTGTACTCCCCGCTGAACGTGGAGCTTGCTTAAGATTTTCCCTCTCTCTCTCTCTCTCCTTCCCCCCTTCTCCTTCTCCTCCTCTCTCCCCTCCCCCCTCATGCACTCACGTTCTCTCTCTGTCTCTCAAATTAAAAAAAAAAAAAAAAAAGCTAGACTCCAGCTAAAGACATTGGCTCTTCCAGGATGGGTGCAAGACTATATGTGAAGCTTGGGGGAAGTTCTTTAGTCCAGATCTTGATGCTTTAACTCCTTTCTGAGCCATTTCAGAGCTCAGAGATGTTAGTCATGTCTAGCAGCTTGCTCCCACAAGGCCTTGCGCTTGCTCTTCCTTCTACCTGGAATGTTCTCTCTCCACAGAGCCCGTTGGCTCGTTCTCACGTCTGCTCCAACTCCTCTGATCACTAAGACCTTCACTGACTGGCGACCAATGGCACTGCCTGCCCCTAGCATGTCCTGCCTTGCTTACCTTGCTTTATTTTCCACACAGCCCATGGCATAATGTGTGTGTGTTTGTGTGTATGTGCATATATATGTATATTTAACAGCTTTGCTTAGGTGTCATTGACACACAATGAACTCTACATGTAAAGTACATGTTCACCTTGGTCTGCTTTGATGCATACACGCACCCATGAAGTCATCACCACCAAGATGAATGTATCTGTCACCCTCAGACATGCCCTCAGTGGGCGCCTTTGCAGTCTGGCCCTCCTGCATCTCTGCCCACCCATCCTCACATAGCAGCCCGTCTGCCTTCTGTCCCTGGAGACTAGTTTGTCTGTCCTAGAATTTTATATAAATGAGATCACAGAACATGTACTCTTTTGTATCTGGCTTCTTTCGCTCCACATACTTATCTTGAGAATCACCTGTGTCCTTTGGTGTGTCAATAGTTCATTCCTTTCATTGTGGAACAGTTTTTGGTTTTTGTTGTTAGTGTTTCATTGTTTCGATCCACCAGAATTTGTTACTCCATTGAAGGTCTGAGCCCCAGATTTCAACCTTTCTCTCCTTTCTTCCCTGAAACAGGTCATAAAACTTCTTTTTATTTTTTTAAAAATGTTTAATGTTTTATTTATTTTTGAGAGCAAGAGAGACAAAGCACGAGTGGGGGAGGGGCATAGAGAGAGGGGGAGACTCAGAATCCCAAGCAGGCTCCAGGCTCTGAGCTGTCAGCACAGAGTCCGACGCGGGGCTCGAACTCACAGACCGCGCCTGAGCCGAAATTGGATACTTAACTGACAGAGCCACCCCGGCACCCCAGGTCATAAACCTTCTATGTGAAAGGTGCATTTCCTGTGCCAGGGGGAGGAAAGACACTTTTGTCACTAGAGACAGGGAATTTGGGGCCAAAAAATCCATACAAACAAACCTTGCAAAACTCCTTCTTACCTTCCTAGGTACTTCTTCGCCATTTGCTACCCGTAGCCCAGACCCCGTTGTCTTACCAATTCTTCACAAACTTACCAGCTGTCTGTCTAAGAGGTATAAAGGGTTCATGCTCTCGTCCCTTCTTTGGGTCTCCATTCTCTTGGGAAGGCTCCCTGTACGTGTAAAAATTCAATGAAATGTGTATGCCTTTCTCCCGTCAATCTGTCCTTGTCACTTTAATTTTCAGACCCATCCAGGGACCCTAACAGGGTCGAGGAAACTTTTTCCTTCCTTGCAGAACCATCCCACGGGCAGCCGTATGAACGTGGGGCCATGATTGGAATTACTGTGGCTTCTTGGTGGTCAGCCAGCTGTTACTTTAGAGGCCTTGCTATTTAAGTGGATCGTGCAGACAGGAAATAATTGTTAAGCCCCCTCTTCCCCCCCATTTCCCCCCTTACCCCCTATCCCCCCCCCCCCCCCCACAGGACATGTAGGGAGAAGCCACTATGCCAGCAGCTTCTGTGGCTGTTTGAGCTCCAGGAGTCGGAGCTTCTAATCATTACGTGGCCACCCCCTTTCGGTCCTTGTCATTTCCCATTCTCTGGGTTGCCACCCCAGTATGTATGTGTGTGGGGGGGGATTCTTCCTCCTCCTCAGCCCAGCCCAGGCTCCCCACAGCCTGGGGCTGCTCCTCGCATGTGCCCTGTGGCTCCCTGCTTTCCTCCCGGCTGCACTCGCTCACCCCCAGGGTCCCAGGCGAGGGAGAGCGGCAGGCAGAGGTGTAGTGAGGCAGCCCAGGGAAATGACAGAGCGGGACCTAGCAAGCACCAAGCCTCCGGCTGAAGGGCAGCCAAAGAGACGCGATCACACTGTGATGGTTTCTTCCCTGACCACGGGTCTCCCAGGCAGCTTTGAGAGAGAATTTCTCGGGTCTGGTTTCGTGCATTCCCCCTGCCTGGGTCCAGCCGTTGGGTTTTGTTTTTGCTTTTGTTTTTGTTTTCCTTTTAAAGCAAAACCAGCTCCAACACCCATATTGCTCCTGCGGGGGCAGTTTGCCAGGCATTTAGTGGGAACTCAGCTCAAACTGAGCAGCAAGTCAAGTGACAGTTGATCCTGTTTCTGAGAATTTAATAAGGGGACTTTCACCCTCTAGAGATTGTAGAGTCCTCAAGCTGGCACTGACTCATGGACCTTGTCCCGTAAAGTTGATTTAGAGCAGCCACAGTCCCCGGAGCGTGTTAGACAGCCTGAGTCCCAGCCCTCGACGGATTCCGCATTTTAACAAGGTCCCAGGCGATTCCTGTTCACAGTGACACACAAGGAGCCCGGCCCTGTGGATCATCCTGCTCCTGGCTCTCATTTACATGTGACGAACTCCTTAAAAAATGCTGGTGCTCAGGCCCTACACTTCAGAAGGTCTGACTTAATTGGTCCAACCCAATTGGTTTTCACTTTATAGATCACCCAAGGCCCAGAGAGATCATGGGACTCATTCTCAACAACTGGTTAGGAACAAAGCTAGGATTAGAAGCCAAAAATTCTAGGGGCGCCTGGGTGGCTCAGTTGGTGAAGTGTCAACTTTGGCTCAGGTTATGATCTCGATGCTCGTGGGTTCGAGCCTTGCATCAGGCTCTGTACTGACACCTCAGAGCCTGAAGTGTGCTTAGGATTCTGTGTCTCCCTCTCTCTCTGACCCTCCCCTGCTCTCTCTCTCAACAATAAACATTAAACTTTTTTTTTTAATTTTTTTTTTAAATTTTTTATGTTTTATTTATTTCTAGGAGAGAGAGAGAGAGACAGCGTGAGCAGGGGAGGGTCAGAGAGAGAGGGAGTCACAGACTGAAACAGGCTCCAGGCTCCGAGCTGGCAGTCAGCACAGAGCCCGACGCGGGGCTCGAACCCACAAACCGCAAGATCATGACCTAAGTGAAAGTCGGACGCTTAACCGACTAAGCCACCCAGGCGCCCCTAAACATTTTTTTTAAAAAAGAAAAAGAGGCCAAAAAATCTGTGTCCTGGAACCCATGGGTCATATTATATTACTCACTGCGTTTCCCTCTACCATGGTCTTCCTTCTAAGACAGAATCTACTACCATATGAGCTGGAGTATAACTCAAAAAGCAGTGATCATGAGGACTGTCTTCAAAAATAAAGATTAACGGAGGGCCTACTGTATGCCAGGGCTGATCAAGACCTTGGGGACCCAATAGGGAGCACAGTGAAGTCCTGATCTCATGGGACAGGGATAGAGGAAGAGTCATACATTAGCCATACCAGCAAAGTCAGTAGTTTTAGGTGACAAAGAATAAAGGGGAGGAAGGGGGTCTCAGGAAGGGAGGTGTCTCTGCTGAGCTATGAGCAGAGGTGTGAAGGGTAAGAGGGGAGAGGGGTGGGATTGCGCTGGGGAACAGTGCTCTCAGAGGGACGATTAGGGGCACAAGAGAGCTGGAGATGGGAGCCTGCCAGGTCACTGCGGCTGCAGAAGACACGGGGCAGAGTGGGGAACAGCCACAAGCAGCAGCAACGCCATAATCCAGACAAGAGATGGGGTGGCCCGATCCAGCGTGGTCCTGGATCCATCTGTCAGGCGTTGCTGCTGGACTGGACGCAGAAGGGGGGAGAGAAATGGACTCGGAGGCGTGCCCCCCGAATGATGGGGAGAACAAAACTGCAAGTTTTTTTTTGAGATAAGGAGCAGGTTTGGACAGGAATGTCCGGAGTTTGGTTCAGGGCATGCTGGGTGTTTGATGAGTTAGCGGTGCTTGTCTTTCAGAATTCTAAGCTGACTCGCTTTCCTGAAAGAGTCTCTGGGTCCTGCAGGGCTTGCTGGTGTGTTTTCCTCGGTCCTGCTCTCAAGCTGCCATGTCTGTCATAGACAGATTTACAACTTAATGTAGGAGCTTTTCTATTGTCCCAATGTACCTTGAGATTTCTGGACACATTCTGGGCATTGTGCTAGCTTAGATGGGGCATAGGGACCATTTCCAGCTATGCTTGAGTTTTCTTTTGATAAGAAGGTTTAGTTGTCTGTTAACTAAGCCTGATGGTAATAATGCTGTAGGCTTTTTTCCTTTCTGAAGTCCATTTGCTCATTTCTTTTCTTTTTTTTTTCTCATTTCTTATTTAATGAATAGCTTGTCAACCTGCATTGCTCCCAGAGATTTAAAAGGCTATCAAAAGCTTAGCACTTCTGTGTCCAAATAGAGCCAAGAAATCATGCCTGATACACACCCAGGGCCAATATACTTCGTCTTCCATCAACCTACCAATTCCGCTACCTCCTTCTGATCGTACAAGAGCTAACATTCATTTAGGTGCCTCTGGGCTCCCCTTTAGAATCACCAGGAAAGCTTTAAAAAAATACCCATGGCAAAGCCCTTCACCCTCAAGATGCTGCTTGATTGCTTTTTTTTTTTTTTTGGTAGGGCCCTGACACTGGTAGTTTCCCCTCCTTTAAATACTTCATTTTTAAAGAGCATTTTAAGAGTCCATTGCAAAAATGAGCAGTAAGTACAGTTTCTATATCTGCCCTTGACCCCCAACCTCTAATGCACAGTCTCCCCCACTGTCAAAACCCTCCCACTGGAGCGGTAAGGTTGTTACTATCAGTGAGCCTATGTGAGCCGTCATCATCACCCAGAGTCCGCGGCTTACATTACGGCCTACTCTTGGTATACAGTCGATGCTTCTGGATGAACGTGTCATGACATGTATTCACCATGATCGTATCCTACAGAGTAGTTCGCTGCCCTAAACAATTCTCTGGCCCTGTGTTTCTAAGAAGCATCCCAACTGACTGTAATGTTCGGCCAGAGCCGAGACCTGCTGACTCAGTGCTTACTGTGTGCCGGGCCCTGCTCTAAGCACTTTCATTAATTACCTGCCATGGTCTTCATGTCATCCTCTGGTGTAGGTACAGTTATTGTGCTTTAGTAGCTTGTCAGCGTCACACAGGGAACAGGCAATGTATGAACCCAGGCAGTCTTCCTGCGATGCCTGTCTCTTAGCCCCTGTGCTGTCCTGGCTTTGCAATCCGCCCTCCCATCTGCTCAGAATTGCACTTGGGTGGAGGAGAAAAGTAGAATTTCCACTGCTGTCCGCCCGTGGGCCACGCTCCTGAGCAGAACTCAGTGCAGTGCCTTTCAGTCCACGGCTCCTGTCCTTCAGGGCCCTCTCCCCACCAGCTCGCTTCTTTCCTGTCCCTTATGCATGACCTGCTAGTTCCAGCTCTGGTACATCTGCCAGGAATGCCCCCCCCCCCCCGCCCTTCCCCACCAGCCAAAATTTAATCCTTCCCCCTTGTGCTCAAGTTCCACGCTCCTGGCCCGTTTGAAGATCTGGGCTACCCTGACCTCTCCCCTCCTAGCACCAGAAGCACTCCCTGCCTCGATTGTGCCTTTTGGGATTCAATGATGCTAGAGTTTGCAAATTGCACACTATTCCCTGTTTAACACCGGAAAGTCTTATCTCTCTGCAAAATTGGCAGTTCCTCTGGGGAAGGAAACAGGTCTTAGACCATCAATTTCTTTCCCTTTTCTCAAGTCTTACACACTGAGCTGGGACTTCATATTGGTGTAGGTTGAATAGGACACATGGGAAGATGCAGTGTCCCTGCTCAAGCAGGGGCCACAGGGCACGTCATGTATGGAGAGCGGGTGCATCCATCCTCACCCTGGTGCACTGTGCGTGTGTGGTGAGCATCCTACAGAATGGCTTCCATTCCTCCCTAAATGGCTGCTTTGATCTGATTATCAGGGAGTCTCATTTGGTCACTGAGGTCCAAACTTCTCAGTCTGGAGTGGAAAGTGTCCCATGATCTGGGCCCTGCCCAACTCCTGGTGGGTGACCATACCTCCTGATTTACCTGAGTCAGTCTCAGTTTCCCTGAAATGTCCCTAGTTTCTGCCTGTGGTCTCAGTGTATTAATACTGTCCCTTTTCATTCTCTAAACTGTCCTGTTTACACCATAAATAAAGCACTGGCCCTATCTTTGAGCCCACAACTCTCCCAGCATCTCACCTCATGGCTGCCCCTCCTGCCTGGAATGACCGGCCCCCTCCCCAACCCCAGGCATATACCAACTTTCCTGCCAAAGTCCTGCTGTGTATTTCCTGGGCCTGTTTCAGCTTTTCAGTACCCAGGAAACCTTCCTTCGTTATCTTGCGTCCTCTAACTTGAATCTCCATAATTGGTCAGATTTTTAATGACACTGAACATACACTGTCCCTCATTGTAGCTGATGGTATAGATATATCATTTCTCCTATTGGATGAGAAGCTCCTAGGAAGGGCCTAGGAATTTACCACGTTTGTCTTCTACTTGGAGGCCAACATGGTGCCTTATACACAGCAGGCATTTCTTATAATTTTTTAACTGTGTGACTTAAGGGAGTCACATCTCTCGACCTCGGTTCCAACGTCAGTAAACTAGATCATTTCTGTATCAGTGAGGGTCTAACCAGGAAGACAAAAGCTATTTTCAAGCATGAAATGCGGGGTTGTATAGGTAACTGAGCCAAACAGGGGTCGCCCAGAGATTCGCGTCGGCAGGAAGCCCCCATCCCCTGGGCTGCTCAGTCCAAGGGAGGCTGCAGGACTACCTGTTCTGGGTCACAGAGCAGAAGGGGTGTATGCAGCCTCTTAGAAGTGCCATCTGAGGCTGGCATTTCCCTTCTTCCTGCTCTCCAATCTCCTGCCTCCTTGTGCCCAAATGCAGCAGTAAGCCCGAGGTTCTGGGCTCCTGGGAGACACAGCCCCAAGGGTTAGCTTAGAGAGACAGAGCACAGCAGGGAAGGGTAGGAGGGGGAGGCAGACAGGCCCCGGAGGGACACAGCTCCAAGTCCCCTTACAGTCTTCAGACTTCTGGTTCATTAAATCTGTTGGCTCAGTAAGTAACTTGGTAAATGGGCATGGAAACTCCTCATCAGTTTGGAAATGTACCGAGCTGCTTGTAGAAAATACGATTAAGAAGTTCTGCATGTTGGGGGACCTAGGTGGTTCAGTCGGTTCAGCGTCCCACTTCGGCTCAGGTCATGAACTCACAGCTTGTGAGTTTGAACCCTGCATAGGGCTCTGTGCTGACAGCTCAGAGCCTGGAGCCTGCTTCCGATTCTGTGTCTCCCTCTCTCTGCCCCTCCCCAGCTCATACTCCATCTCAAAAATAAATAAACATTAAAAAAAATTAAAAGAAGTTCTGTGTGTTTCTAGTATTAGAATTCTTCCATCTCTATAACAAACATAGCTTTGGGGCATGAAAGAAAACCCAAGCCTTTCTTACTCCTTTAGTTATCCTGAATAATTCTGTCAATAAAATTGATAGTAGCAGTTAGGCAAGTAATACAATACAGACACTTTGTGTAAGAAAATATTTTGACCTTCACCTGGTGCGATGATGACAACAGGACATGGATGTCATCACATAAGTATTTATTGAGCGGAGTGCTCTCCCTCCTCCCTGCGGCATGGGGAGACGAGGCTCAGAAAATCCACAGGGTAGGGAGGGAAGGGGGGGATTCAGAGGCCTCCCCACCTCCACATTCCTGGCGGCACCAATGAAGATGCAGACATTTTGTTCCTAGGTCTTGTTTTCCTCCACTGGGAAGTGGAGAACATGGTAAACTAGAACCGTCCCTGAGATCCAGAGAGGATTCCACATCTCCCCTCTAGCCAATAACTTGAGCTTCGTCTCCCACAAACGCTGTCTTCAGGGCGTCTGGACAGATGGCATGGTTTGAGCTGCAGGAATTTTAATTTTGTTGGGAGAGCTTTCTGGGAAGCAGGGGAATGACCTCCAGGAGACAAAAGGAAGAAGAGAAGCAACCTGAACCTGGGAAATCCACACGGGAGTAAGTCATTCGGTTTTACTTGTGTCAGTGGGATAGTGAATGAATAGATGTAGGAAGTAATGCATGTGAAAACCTACCACCTGAGGGTGCAGTAATGGTGGGGATTGAAATGTAGAAATTTAAAAGAATATCAGGGACACCTGGGTGGCTGAGTCAGTTAAGCATCTGGCTTAGACTCAGGTCATGGTCTCATGGTTCGTGAGTTCAAGCCCTGCATTGGGCTTTCTGCTGACAGCGCAGAGCCTGCTTGGGATTCTCTCTCTCTCTCTCTCTGTCTCTCTCTGTCTCTCTATCTATCTCTTACCTTGCCCCTCCCCTGCTGTGCTCTCTCCCTCTCTCTCAAAAATAAATAAACATTAAGGGCGCCTGGGTGGCTCAGTCAATTGAGCATCCGACTTTGGCTCAGGTCATGATCTTGTGGTCTGTAAGTTCAAGCCCCACGTCAGGCTCTGTGCTGACAGCTCAGAGCTTGGAGCCTGCTTTCGATTCTGTGTCTCCCTCTCTTTCTGCCCCTTCCCCACTTGCACTCTGTCTCTCAAAAATAAATAAATGTAAAAATAGATAAATAAACATTAAAAAGAGAAAAGGAAAGGAAAGAAAAGAAAAGAATATCAGGTCTAATAGGTCTGTTGTGCTGGTAACTAGAGAAACAAAAATGATTCCTGGTCTTCTTTTTTGCAACTGTTACAGTCTATTCCCCAAACCCCTATTTTCATATTCAGT